GTATTTACTTCACTGGAAGTTTGATCGTACCTATTTAAAACTATGTTGCATCAGTCTCTGGGTTGTTATTGAAATACAGGTACAATGGACTCTGAGAAGTCCCACTGAGAGGTGCCAGTGTTCTAGTGTGTCTTTGCCAACAGCAGTTTATTGGCATCCTGCAATAGGTTTTAACTTCCTACACTGTCGCTTTCCAGGTAGAAAAACAGATAAAATTCTGCCCTCAAATCACAAGCATTCTACTCTGATGCCTTTAATAGTAGTCATAATAGTAGTTATAATACATTTTTTGCTAAGAGCCAAAAGAAGCCCATTATTAGCAAATTGCCTAGCTCTAATGAGAGATGATTATAACAATTTGTCACTAAAATCCATCCTCATTGCACCTTCTCTCCCAGTTTCTCAAGGTTGCATGTTGACAAGGGAGTCCTGGGGGAGTATTTGTGGAATTCTTATAAGTTTCGTTTCTCTAAAAGTGACTGAATTTGGTATTAGTGATCCATAGGTAATCTTCCTAGAGCCAATCTGGCCAATAATTCCAGGTCAATGAGTTTAATTAAGCAATGCTAATAATCTGATGCTAGTTTTATGTATGGTACATTGGAGTGAGCAATGCTCACCTGCAAATCTTTATACAAGGGGAGGAAGATCATTGAAGATCATGAGTTGCTAGAGTAATTAAGCCAAATAAAACCAACTCTTAGTCTTCTATATTCAGTGTTAACAGTACAGTGAGCAGGGGATACAGCCTGCTGAAGGAAACTGAGAGGAATAGAGTATTTTTGCATATTAAATACTGATGTTGTGTTCTCAAAAGACTGGAGGCCACTCTAATGTAAAGACCTCAGCTTTCCTTTTTTGTTGGGGCGGACACCTATAGAACCTAGTAATATAAAGTTTACAATTTTTACTATACTCTACTTTTTGCAATACAGATCTTCAATCTATTTGCTACTCTCCCACAGATATGAAGGTGGACTTTCATGGATGAGTTAAATCCTACTAGATCAGCCTGAAAATCAGTATATTGTCATCATGTGCTCCTTCTAGGGTGGTATAAGGAAGGAGAAGCAGAAGGAAAGGAGAAGAGGGTGTGGTTGTAGCAAGGATTCATTTTTCATGGTCATTGACTTTCAGAGAAGAGCTCTAATTCTCAAAACCTATCCAAGAAAGGAAACTGAGGGATGCTAAAAGAGGCGAGACAAGTACTAACTGTGATTTAATTAAACATATTGACTAACTAGTTTTCTCATATCCCTAAGGATCCAGATGACATCATTTATTTATGGAAGGTCTGCAGGAGTATGCTCCTTTCAAAATGTAAAGAGCAGCCAATATTGAAACCCCTCAAAAGGGTAAAATATTCCTAAATGTCAAAAGATCATTTAAAAATGGAAGATAGTTCCAAACATCAGGCTCTGTAACTCCTCAAAAGAAACATCTGAGTACCATGCTTTACAGAAGGATGTTTGCATTCTGGTGACAGCCAATCTGCTGGCAATAATTCATTTCTCAAATGGTTCTGACCGCTGTGGAGGTCTCATGGTGTGTGGCTACCTCCACACCCCCAGAACCACGTAGCATAGTCCCCAAGACTAGTAAAAGAATATTCAACGTACATCTATCAAGGAGTGCTCCCGCTCTTGACCATCTGAAAGTCTACGGATGACTTACTGTTGGTTTCAAGACTCTCACAGAGTTCGCTTTTCACCTCGCCATTTGGTCTGTCATTTCCTTTTTGGATCAGTTTGCTTTGCATGGTGGCAGCTGTCACCACGGCCTTGAAGCTCCTCTTGCGTTTTTGAACATTCTGCTCTGGATGAAAAATTATAATATAAACCTTGGGCATATAGAGCATCCCCAGAGACACAGAAGCACTTAAGCTCATGGAAACAGTAAGTGTTGTTGTCTGGATGTACATCTGAGGGGAGAAAAAAAAGAGAGAGAGAGAGAGAGAGAGAATCACTGTAGTTAAATTTGACTAATAGGAGATAAAGCCTATAGCATACCATTTTCTAAAAATTACTCCAGCTTCTTTATTAAAGGTGCTCTAGAAACTACTTATTGAAATTGCATATCTATATCCCAACCCGCAAGTGTGTGAGTAAGTATGTGTGTAAAGTTTATTAAGCCCAATTCCTTAAAACAAATAGACCAACAACTAAGACTCTGGAGCTTTATTTCCTTTTGGAATCACAAATAAGCTACCTAAGGAAAGAGGCAAAATCAGTCTGATATAACACTAGCACTTTATTCCACATGGTTTTCCTCAGGAGATACCAGTGAGTCAAATCCTATTCTTGTAGCAGTACTTACCCCAAGGGGTAAATTGTATAGAATGAAAATAGAGATTGGGAGTGGAGAGTTCTAGAATATCATCACTGTAAACCCTTGCTTAAAAAAAAAATTTGTGTTTCATTTTCACATCATTACTTAATTCCAACCAGCAAACCTGATAAATCACAGGTAAGCTGTTAGGACCTGATACTGTAACAGCCCCTCTAAAGAGCACAGAACACTTCAGAGGTTTCTCAATGATCACATCATATAAAAATAAATGCAGGTGTTTTTACAAAGTATATAAGACCTTCTTCCTCTAAGATTTGACATGTACTCTGGGGATAGGGTCTTGGTTATGGTGTTTGAAAATTCTCTCTCTACATTCATTCCCATGGAAATCACCTGCTCTCATGCCCACAAGAAGTCTCTGGAAATTTTTTTCTTTGTATAGCCTGGAGGTTAAGAAGCTGAAACAAGCTTAAAATCACTGCTTTGGGTTTTTCTCTCTGGTATGGAAAGAAACATGACAATATTTTCATCTTTAAAAACTAAAACAGAAAATCTTTATTCCGCATTCATTTTTCTTTCCTGAGCTCAAAATATAAATTACCCCAAAAAACTTAGGACACTGAGTCAACAGAGAAACCAGGTCCTAAGTCAGTGAAAAAGACCCCCCTTTTCTCATGTCTACAATCCTTATTAATAGATTCACTCACTTGAATACCTTCAAAAATGAAAAGTAGCCAATTTTCATCTGGCCATCTTAAAAGCCAACCTAATTGTTTCCTTTTTAATAAAGTATTTTAAAAATTTACTCCTAAGGATAGCTATCTGAATCAATATTAGTATTTCCTTTTTACCTAGAGGAGATGGTTTCTCTTAACAGATGTGGCCTTGAGGTAAAAACTATCTAAACTATGAGGAAAAATTCCTGCAATAGTAAAAATACTATCCTTGTCTGTGAAATTATATTATGCATATCTCTGAGTTTGCTCATCAATTATCTACCAGCAATGCTCTCCTCTGTGAGGATGGGAATACCTTACCATAAGGTGATTCTGATTGGACTGTTTCAAAATTCACCTACTCCAGGAAGTATTCCATGATAAGTTGTATCTCAATTACAATATTCCATTTTATTCCTAAGCACTAATACATTAAAGTAAAAATAATGGAACACTTTCTAATGTGTAACTTTATAATTATATTTGTTTATATGAACTTCGTTATTAATTTATATGAAATGTATAATCAAAATATAAAATTCTTTAATACAGGTAGCCTGTATTTTTCCTTCTATATCCCCAAGAAACTATGCAAGATTCTAGAATAAGTAGTTGTTCTGAAATTTCTCACTAATTTTAGGTATATGAAAATCTTTATAAGAGTCCCTTGATATACACAAATTATAGAAAATAGACTTCCTATAATGTCCCTCTCCATCATGTGGACATCATTAACGGTTACCATAGAGATTTGTGACATTTTGAGGAAGAAACAAAGTTATAAGGTGTAAATCCCAGACTCTAGGGTAGGCTCACAGATACCAGCCCCAGGAGAGACCTGATTCAAATACATTCCTCACCAAGTGGAAAATTTCTAAGTTATGACATCTCATGCTACCTGCCAATAAGTGAAATCCCATATCAAATTCGTGTCAATCGAAAAGGTCAAATGGAATGCAGATGTGTGCCTTTAAACCACATCAGTCTCCCTAAGGTTCACTGTCTACGATTAAGTAACCTATTAAAATGAGTATTCCTAAGTTTCTCGTGTGCTCATTAATCTTCTTTGAACTTCAAGGCAGCAGTGCTGTAAAAAAAATCTATGCAGAGGGA